GTAATCAGCAAGATGGAATTCAAGACCGAGTACATAACGGGAAAGGTGAATGAGTGGGTTAGGGAAATCCAAGCTCTGTCTGATATTACTAATACAGAGCCACATGCGGCTTTTGCGGCATTCACCCATGGAGTCAAGCATCGCTGGAACTACCTGATGCGCATTATCCCTGATATCAGACCCTTCCTCCACCCTCTGAAAGAAGCTATCAGCGTCAATTTCATTCCCAAATAAGTGAAACATCTTCACATAGCCCCAGCAGAAAGATCACTCCTTGCACTACCACCAAGGAGTGGTAGTGCAACTCTATTAATAAACCGTTTATTATTATTATTATTATTATTATTATTATTATTATTATTATTATTATTATTATTATTAAGACTGGGAGGAATGGGATTGACCAATCCAGAGGAGATTGCTGCCACCGAACATCAAAACTCAGTTAAACTCACGGCAGCCCTCACTGACCACATAATAGCTCAGAACGCAACAGGTGAGGTGGATACCAGCAAAGTAAACAAGCTTCGACTGTCCATTACGACAGAACGACAGCACGGCTAAAGTGATAAGTTGCAGCAACTGATGCTGCAAGTACCAGAGAATTTAAAAAAAAAGTAGCTATAGCGCAGGAGGTGGGCGCCTCGAACTGGTTAACTACAGTACTGATAAGGGCAAATGATTTTAGTCTCAATAAACAAGAATTTACAAATGCCATTGCTCTAAGGTATGGTAGACCAATAGAAGGTTTGCCCTCCCATTGCGTGTGTAGCTCTTCCTATGAAGTCGATCACGCCATGGTGTGCATGAAAGGGGGCTTCATATGCATGAGGCGTGACGAAGTAAGGGATCTCACAGCAAATGTGTTGAAGGAAATCTGTCATGATGTCAGGGTAGAACCGACCCTCCTTCCATTGGACGGTGAGAATTTCCAACATAGGACTTTAAACACATCCAACAAAGCCAGTGTTGACGTCAGTGCTCGAGGATTCTGGACGCGGGGACAGCGAGCCTTCTTCGACATCAGGATTTTTTTTTATCCTATGGCTTCATGTCACCGTAACCTCGCTTCCGATGCTGCACACAGGATGAACGAGAACGACAAGATAAGGGCATACAGGGAGAGAATTCAAAACGTTGATCAAGGCAGCTTCACTCCTCTGGTGTTCACAACCTCTGGTGGGATGGGACTAAGTGCAAGATGCTTCTATGCCAGACTCGCGTAGGTGCAATCCGAACAGAAGCAGCAGCCCAGAAGTTATGTTACAACCTGGATGAGATGTCGACTGTCCTTCTCTCTCCTTAGGTCTGCTTTGCTCTGCCTCAGGGGAACGAGAGCATCGGCCCTAAAGTCGACAACAGTTGCAGATATTGGCTATGAGGCAACAGTCACTGAATGCCTCATAGATCTGCGGCTCAACTAACTCAACACAGCTAGGGTAGCTACTCGTGTATTAGGATATTTAATTTTAAGGTAATAAAATGGTGGACAAGGTTTGGCTATTGGGGGAGGCTGGAGGCCGCGTTAAAAAAAAAGAAATGCACCAGTGTTGCCAAGCACTCCTCAACAACTGATATTTAACTTGCTACCACACTCACACACAGCTTACTGTCTTAATTCCCATGTTGGGTTGGGGGTATGTGGGGGGAGTTGCAGTGTGCGTGGGGGTTAGGGGGGTTGTGGATGGTTGTCAGAGGGTGTGTGGGGGTGGTTGTTGGAGAGTGTGTGTTGTGAGGGTGGTGTGTGTGGGTGATGTAGGGGTATGTGGATGGTTGTTGGAGGGTGTGTGTGGATGGTTGTTGGAGGGTGTGTGTGATGTGTGGGTGGTGTAGCACATTGTGGTTGATGTGGGGTGAGAGTGGGTAAGTCAAACCTTTTTTAGAGGGTGGGGTGGGAAGGGTCGTGCAGTCAGTTTTCTCCCCAACCTCCCTTCTCACTCAAGTGTAGCTAATTGTGATAAGGAAACAAATTTGATACCATAATGATCCTTAATAAATTCTCTATGAGACGTGTCCAATAAGATATCCTTCAGCAAAATATATTGATATGATGTAATGATGGGAATTCCTTTCTTTTATATACTGTATACAAAAAAATACAAAAAATCTTGATACCGAAGTCAATAAAATCAGTTCTAATTTCGTTAGACGCACCATTTTTTATCAAAATAATCCTGAATACTTTATCTAAAAGTTTTATTAAATAAAATAATATATTTTAAAAAACAAAAGCTCTATAATGTCTATATGATATGGTGTGAATAGAGCTGTGTTTCAGCAAAGACAATGTGGTATTTTCCAAGAGTAAATGATGCAGCTCATAGGAGCTGTAGTTATTTACTCAAACACCACTGTACACATACAATATTGTTCATTCTATACTGTAAACAAAATAATGTATACTTCTGTACTACTATGCTGTGTATATTGTACTCACCAGCAGATCCTATCATCTTTAGCCTAGAGTAGGCAGACACTTCACTCAGCTGACTGTAATACATAACTGTAATCACATCTTAACACTTGTGATGGAGGTTGGGTGGGAGATTATTGGGACTTGTTATTTATGACTTATGACCTGAAGATGTCTTGAATGACATTATTTTTTTCCTATGAGGTATCTAATATACTATAGGAATAGCCGTGTGTGTGTGTGTCTGTCTGTTCTGGGCAGCCGAAACGGCACAATCGTTTTTCATCAAACTTGGTGGAAAAATCGCAAAAAATTCATAGAGTGGAACAAACCTGGTCCTATGTCGATGGTTTTTTAGGAAGCCATTAATTAACCATTTTATTTACGCTGGAAAACGATGCAAGTTTACGGACTTGGCACACCCTCATTCGCTGTCAGCCGGACGGTGGTTGCGCGCTAGCCAAGCACAAGCGTTCAAACTTTCACCAGGCACGAAGGGCCCACGATCACTTGTATATTATATAGTACTGTATTGTGTATGAAGGGTACAGGTATTAATAAGCACAGATTATTGCAGTATCATAGCTTTACTAATTAATAAAAACACATACACAATATTGTATCATGAATGAGGCAGTATTTGCTGACAAACAATCAGTGACAGGCGACCCTTTGCAGGGGGGGGGGATCACATTTCAATGGACCCTTCCCATCCCCCCCCCTCCCTCCCTCCCTCCCTAACTCACAGCATTTGTTATAAACTTCTAATAGTGTTAGAGAGATGAATTTGATACCAAAATGATCCTGAATAAATTCTCTATGAGACATTTCCAATTTGATATCCTTAAACAAAATATTTTGACATGATATGATGGGGATTCCATTCATTTATACAAAAAAAGCAAGAAATATTGATGATACCGGAGTCAATAAAATCAGTTCTAATTTAGTTAGACACACCATTTTTTACCAAAATAATCCTGAATACTTTATCTAAAAGTTTGGTGAAATAATTACCGTATTTTATGGCACATAAGACACATCCCAATTTTAGCAGAGAGTATTTAGGAAACTTGTGTGTGGATTTTCCTCCTGTAGCCATAATTTTCTTAAAATAATATATACAGTACCAGTAAATGTGAGGAATAAATAAAAACAATACAAAAAAATAAGTTCCAACAAAATTACTGTATATAGTCATGTTTACAATATTTAATGGTGTATCAGTAACTACATTGGAGTATTTTGGCTTGGAATGTTGCAATTCTCATTAATCATGGTATTACCCAAACAATTTTTGTCTGGTCCGGAGCAGCGACATTGCCGAAGACCTCGTCCCTCAGCGTAGATGCCTGGCCGTGTGTCATCATTAGTGACTATTTCTTGGTCACTTGCCTTGTTTCCTATCTACTGCTGCTTTTAGTTTTTAAATTTCACTTCATAATGTTTTGAATCGGCTGGATTGTCCAGTTAACCAGGCCGTTCACACATATTTATTATTTGGGTTTAAGTAACGAAACCCAAACTGTAGTTCCTTGTTTTATTATAAAAGGATTGTATCTATAATTCCTGAGTGTAGATCGACCGTAAGTTCCACTGTATATGAGTGAATGAGAAAGGGGCGGCGTTTATGTAATATAAACGTGAGATCACGTCCTTACGATGTAAGTTGCTGTGAGCGACTCATGAGTAGTGACCCATCGAGGGAGAACGGTATGGGTACGTCGTTCCCCCTCGAGGGAAGACGGAGCCATCCACTGCGGCTCTCAAATAATGTCTTCCTCTAGTCAAGGATATCAAACTACTGCTCGCTTCAGGTGACCAGAGAGCCGGCTACTTATGCCTTTACTCAGCATAGTATGACGTAGCTTCCCGTGGGCACACCTTATCACGTGCATTGAACATGTCACCTCATAGCCAGTGGAAAGTTACAGGGTGGTGAATCTGAATATAATATCAGATGTATTGACCCATTTATATAATATGTTCTGTTGATGAGACAGGGGCCCATTACAGTCTCGGATTATGAGAGTTATGGCACAGAGGTCACCAATATCACAATTAGTTACGCATATGATTATTTTTTATTTTTCACCTGAATGATAAATATCTATGATGTTGTAATTATGATGTTTGGTAACTTGGAGCTAATTTCCAACACAATACTTTTAGTCCATCAACTCGTGATGTTTATCAATATTCATATTTCATAACTGGGTCGAGAACAGCCCAAGTTTCTCATACCTCACTCCCAACTTGCTATTGTTATGTCTGCCAACAATGTTATGACTGAAATTATGTTATGCAGGTGCATGTCATGTCAAAATTCGTAAGAATTTCTTTCCATGCTCATGTGCTGTGAGTCTCGGAGTGTTGTGGTGGTGGAATGTCTGCGTCCAATCACCCAGCCTTACCTCAACCCTGGCCTCGGTGAACACCCAGCCAGGGGGTGTCGAAACTTTGGATTGTGACTGTACTCATGAATTTTAAGTGGAATGTTGTTTTCTGTAATTTTTGTTTACTCATATATCCTGAGACATTAGGTTTGTTTAAGTAAAATAACAGCAATTTCTTATCACTGTTACAGGTACACTGCAGTCCCGTTCCAAAAAATGCAACAGCATCTTGTAATTCCTCAGACTCACCTTGCCTCTTCCACATTCCCAGTGACCCTTGTGAGTACACTGACCTTGCTGCTACTCACCAAAGTGTTATGGCTATCATGAAGGATAGATTGAACCAGTATAATGCAACTGCTGTTCCTCCACGTAACAAACCTTGGGACCCTGCTGCCAATCCAAAGTTTTGGGGGTATGCATGGACAAACTGGAAGGACTTTACCAGTCCTATCACTGGGGATATAGGGAAAAATAATGTAGAAATGGACAGTTTAGGAGACATCTATCATGATAGACAGCACAGTTAAAGCTGTCCATCTGTCCATCCTATGTAATTGGACTCCTTTTAAATACTTGAAAAATATATAGTGAATCAAAATTAAATTTGGTTTTCAGCCTTGTATCAAGAATATCCCGGTTGTGCTTAGTAATCAGCATATTCCAGCTTTATTTACAAGTTGTGGTCTCAGTTCAACTTCAAAAATTTTGTAGGGTCATATATTACGATCCATTATAGACTAGTTCCCCATTGTTCTTGCTTCCCAAATTCAGCTTGATTATTGAGTCTGCCTCATTCATTTCTCCTTCTATGTCTATCAATAAGAGATAGACCATGGTAAGTGAAATCTTGTTAAGAGAACACTAATTTCCCATTGAGATACACTTACAGAAGCCTCGGGCTGTTTTAGTAAAGATAAGGGACAGAGAATGTTCATGAGATAGTCCAATAGTAAACAGGATCAAACAGGACTTATTCACATCTGCTTTGGTCACTACTACTCACGAGGGACAATTACAGGTATCCCTCATGATATGAACGTTCTAGATACAAAAATTCGACTATACGAATTTCATAAATTAATTAACATCACTCTTTCGAGACACAAAAGCTTCCCCGCTTATACGAATTAGGGTCCAGGCAAAAATTCAAATCGCCTGCCAGGAGTCAGATGATATGGCCATCTTGGGAGAGAGATGTCAAGTAAGGTCCTTACCAGGCCCACCCTTGCTCACCCCCTTGTGGTGGTGGAGAACTATCCTCCCATAGGGTAATTTACCAGTGTTATACAGTATTTTCTTAATTTTTTTCATGTGTGCAGAGTGTGAGAGACAGAGAGAGCAGATGGTGGGCAGTGAGGTTTTTGTTATTTTTTTTAGTTTGTATATTGGGGTAGATATACTGTATGTAATTTCCTTAATTTTTTTTTTGTTACATGCACACACAATCTTCATACAGAATGTGCATAAGGTCAAAACATAAAAAGAACTACCGGGTAAACATTTATTAGTGTGTGTATGGGAGAAAACACTGAGGGAGGAAAGGAGTAAGCAACCAGCAGATATTTCCTCACGAACTGCTCCGCTGTCTCCTGTCAAATGGCAACGCAGTATTTATTTAATTTTTTTTAATTATTATGTATTTTTATTTTTATTTATTCCTCACACATATACTGGTACAGTATATATATTATTTTATGTACAAAGAATAAATTCTTCCGAACTCAGACCTCCCAGGCATGCAGCCCGCGTGTTATGCCCTCCCATAGAAATGTACCAAAGTTAAACAGTAACTTATTTATTTATTTATTTTTTTATGTGTTAGGTTGTAAGTGTACTGATTGTGGGAGAGGTAGAGAGAGTGGGTGGTGAGAATATACTGCAGCGCAATAGCTCATCTGAGATTGAGTGTGGGATTTGGGGGGTAAATGTTTTATTTTTCAATATCAAAATACAATAGCACATATTTTATGTACAAAAATATCTCCTTCCACACTCAAACCATCCTCTGCGTGATGCGACACAGTTCAGGCAGTCACCCAGCTGACTTATAGATGTGTGGCTGCCGCTGCACTGGCTGTGTGTATACCGTGATGTCACATCAGGAGGAACTCAGCCCTGAAGCTATAACCCAGTAACCCACTGCCTCCCACATGCACTTAATTTTTTCTTATTTTATAGTTTTATATGAAATTTTCCATATTTCTAAGCCACATTAGAATACCTGTATTATAATAACTTTTCTACAACTTTTATAGTTTCGGTACAAGTAACAAGATACGAGGCAGCTGGGCTGGCAAGTTGACAATGTATTTATAGCCAAGGCCTTAGCTATAACTGCCTCCACACACGTTCACTTCTCACACATACACACCCTTGCTCTTCATTTTATTGTTTTATAGTTTTATATTATAATTTCTTTATTTCTAAAAGATCCGTCTTTCTGAGACCTGCTGAGAGTCAGCCGGCACAGCCATCTTGAGAGATGTGCAGACTGCTTTCCCTTAAAGTAATGTACCAAAGGTAAACAGTAGTTTTTCACGTGTTACATAGTTTTTCATGTGTTATGTAGTTTTTCATGTGTTATGTAGTTTTTCATGTGATAGGTAGTTTTTCATGTGTTACATAGTTTTTCATGTGTTATGTAGTTTTTCATGTGTTATATGGTTTTCATGTGTTATGTAGTTTTTCATGTGTTGTGTAGTTTTTCATGTGGTAGGTAGTTTTTTCATGTTCTTTTGGGCATCTTTTTCCAAAACAGCCCAGTTTGTCCACATTGAACACTTGCTGTGGAAGATAATTTTCTTCATCCATCAGTTCTTTAAGCTCCACTAAAAACTTTGCTGCCCCTTCCTTATCAGCACTAGCAGCCTCACCATTCCTCACACTAAATATGTCACTTCTTTTCTTAAATTTTTCGAACCAGCCTTTGCTGGCCCTAAAATCTTCAAATTCTGTGCCTGAAGAACCAGGTTGATCTGTCTTTAAATGTTCGTAAATCTCCTGGCTCGTTCTAAATGAATTCAGTAGAAACTGAATCACCTTTCATCTGTTTTCCTAATCCAGATGAGAAATAACCTCTCTGTTTCTGCAATTAGGGATCTACCTTTAAACACTGGTAGATTTGTCTCTCACTTTCACTTCTCTAAATTTTTCTTTCTGTGTAAGAATTGTCGACACAGTTGATGTCAACATGCCATATTCTTTTATAGCGCATTTGTTCTAATGCCTTCTTCATGTTTTTTATAATTTCCTGCTTAGTTTGGATTGAAATTGCTTTTCTTGATCTCTTAGGCCCCATGCTGGATTCAAACAATCTCAACATGTGATATTCTAAGTTTAAACTTGCTGTAAATAAAAAATATTTTCTTTAAAATAACACTGCACTGTGCCATATATTGTCAATATGTAAAATAAATTTCAAAATTACCAATAATTTGCTTGGAAACAGAAAAAAAGCGTTTAGTTGTAGAGTGTCTCAAGCAAGATGTTACCTCCACTGAAAAGACAGAGAGACTAACGCCTGTTTGGTGTGTTGACAGGCTGGATGGCGCGCATGAAACTAGTTTCCTTACCTTCAATTATGTTCAATAATTGTTAAAATGACTAAAAAATGTAATATTAAACTTTTAAAATTATTAAATAGTATAAACTTCTTGATATTTACTAAAACAGTAAGGAATTTAAGCCCTAGAACCGATTACTGTATTGGCGGACTAATACTACAGCTGGTTGACCGCCATATTATAGCCAAATATGTTGAGGTCAGCTAAATAGAAACTAGATAATCGAGGATTGCTCGTTAACGAGGACCACTGTACAGTGGAGGCGCCAAACTTTGGATCCACTTTCAAGAAAAAAAAACCTCATATATACTGTTCACTTATTTGCAGTTTTACTCAAGTCTGCCTGTTACCAGTTACATAATTTTACATTTACGCTTTCAGGTGGCTCTATCTCTCTGGGCCCTGTCACAAGGAAAATACACACGTCCTGTACACAACAGACTCAGGACAAACACAGTTCCTCTCTCTCTCTCTCTCTCTCTCTCTCTCTCTCTCTCTCTCTCTCTCTCTCTCTCTCTCTCTCTCTCTCTCTCTCTCTCTCTCTCTCTCTCTCTCTCTCTCTCTCTCTCTCTCTCTCTCTCTCTCTCTCTCTCTCTCTCTCTCTCTCTCTCTCTCTCTCTCTCTCTCTCTCTCTCTCTCTCTCTCTCTCTCTCTCTCTCTCTCTCTCTCTCTCTCTCTCTCTCTCTCTCTCTCCCCTCTCTCTCTCTCTCTCTCTCTCTCTCTCTCTCTCTCTCTCTCTCTCTCTCTCTCTCTCTCTCTCTCTCTCTCTCTCTCTCTCTCTCTCTCTCTCTCTCTCTCTCTCTCTCTCTCTCTCTCTCTCTCTCTCTCTCTCTCTCTCTCTCTCTCTCTCTCTCTCTCTCTCTCTCTCTCTCTCTCTCTCTCTCTCTCTCTCTCTCTCTCTCTCTCTCTCTCTCTCTCTCTCTCTCTCTCTCTCTCTCTCTCTCTCTCTCTCTCTCTCTCTCTCTCTCTCTCTCTCTCTCTCTCTCTCTCTCTCTCTCTCTCTCTCTCTCTCTCTCTCTCTCTCTCTCTCTCTCTCTCTCTCTCTCTCTCTCTCTCTCTCTCTCTCTCTCTCTCTCTCTCTCTCTCTCTCTCTCTCTCTCTCTCTCTCTCTCTCTCTCTCTCTCTCTCTCTCTCTCTCTCTCTCTCTCTCTCTCTCTCTCTCTCTCTCTCTCTCTCTCTCTCTCTCTCTCTCTCTCTCTCTCTCTCTCTCTCTCTCTCTCTCTCTCTCTCTCTCTCTCTCTCTCTCTCTCTCTCTCTCTCTCTCTCTCTCTCTCTCTCTCTCTCTCTCTCTCTCTCTCTCTCTCTCTCTCTCTCTCTCTCTCTCTCTCTCTCTCTCTCTCTCTCTCTCTCTCTCTCTCTCTCTCTCTCTCTCTCTCTCTCTCTCTCTCTCTCTCTCTCTCTCTCTCTCTCTCTCTCTCTCTCTCTCTCTCTCTCTCTCTCTCTCTCTCTCTCTCTCTCTCTCCCTCTCTCTCTCTCTCTCTCTCTCTCTCTCTCTCTCTCTCTCTCTCTCCTCTCTCTCTCTCTCTCTCTCTCTCTCTCTCTCTCTCTCTCTCTCTCTCTCTCTCTCTCTCTCTCTCTCTCTCTCTCTCTCTCCTCTCTCTCTCTCTCTCTCTCTCTCTCTCTCTCTCTCTCTCTCTCCTCTCTCTCTCCCTCTCTCCCTCTCTCTCTCTCTCTCTCTCTCTCTCTCTCTCTCTCTCTCTCTCTCTCTCTCCTCTCTCTCTCTCTCTCTCTCTCTCTCTCTCTCTCTCTCTCTCTCTCTCTCTCTCTCTCTCTCTCTCTCTCTCTCTCTCTCTCTCTCTCTCTCTCTCTCTCTCTCTCTCTCTCTCTCTCTCTCTCTCTCAAGTTGTATCAATTTATTACACACATTTTCTTTTAGTTTGACTGTCAAATAATCACCACTATTTTAAAAATTTCTAATAAACCTTTGCAGGAACACTGGTGTAGATTAACAAACTCTTTTTCTCCTAAATTTTTTATTTTTTATTCTTATTTTTCATTCCCCAGGCCCCGTTGTGGATTCGATGACCTGTGCCTGGATGGGCTATTCCCCTTAAAAAGGAAATCATAAAATTTATTTCACTCTAGGGTCATCTGGGAACTGGTGTGTCAAATGGGGTCTTTTCTTTACATTTGTACTGAATTTTTAAAGTCTGGACTTTCAGCTAATCTGGATGCCCTTCCCCCAGTTAGTCCAGACGACTGTGGGTTCGCCTATAGGAAAGCCGTGAAATAAAATAATACAGATATCCCTTGTTGTGCTTAATGTTATTAAACTTTAGCACTAAATTTTTTTTACACCCTTCAGGTCAAAATTTGGTTTAGCGATAGCATAAGATCACTAGGAAGAAAACTGAGATAAAGAGGTGGCCCGTGAAATGACTATGCATGTTGGTATTGGAAACTATAAAGTCATTAAAATACCATTACAATGTGGCATAGAATAATAAATATAATATAAAACTATAAAATAAGAAAAATAGAAGAGCATAGGTGTATGTGTGGGGAAGTGATCATGTCGCGTGGGCAGTGGGTTGTAACTGCTTCCACCGAGCCCAGCAGCCAACCGTGCTCCCTTCCTCCAATGTAACGTCTTGAGTATACACACAGCGCCCAGCAGCATCCACTTGTCTCTGAGTCACTGGGTG